AGTTGGAAAGTGAGACTGAGTTAACAGTGAGGAGCTAAGGTGTCTGTTAGATGTTTTATTTATTTTGTAGATCAAACTGTTGCACTAATGTAGAGAGTTGTTAAAGAAGAACAAAACTTGTTTAGATTTTACTTTTGTTGGTCAAATTGCTGTATTGAGTTTAAAACTGCCGAGTCCTATTTTATGAGCTGTTTTCTACTTTGGTTTTAGAAAGAGGTAGAACCAGTTCAATTACCAGTCAATTTATATCAATGCATTTTGACCAATAATCAAATGTCTTTTGACCAATAAAATATATCAGAATCTGGTAGCCTGTCTGTGCTACCAGAGTATTTAGCTTGCTAGTTGTGAGGCAAATGCTAAAGTGAGTGTTCATCCTGGAATGACGGTCATTATGCTATGCATAACTTTAATCTGATTATTGGATTGTAAATAGATAGTTGTTACTGAAACAAGGGTCAGATTAGAGTAACGCATTACTGATGTGTTGATGGCATCAGGCACGTGCAGAAGGAGGGGCTGGGGGGGCCTGAGCACCTGCCCCTTTTGCTCCTTGCCCCCAAGGGCCCTTTTGGTCAAACTTTTTTTTTTTTTTTTTTTTTTTGGTCTTATTTTCTAAGCCCTCTTCTGACGCATAATAACGTACTAAAATTATTTGTTGTTTACATTTTTAATAGTGTAATTCTGTAAAGACAAAATATGTCTGGTGGTCTAGCTCTGATTTACATATCTTGCTCAACTGCAGGTTTGAATATTGCAATACTTTCCTATAACAAAATAGACCTGCAGAAAGAAATTACTAATCAAATATCTTACATATGCATAGTTGTATGCTCTGTATAGAGATTTTCCTTAGCTTTGATTCCATATCTCACAATTTTGTAAATTATCATTGTTTATTAAACTCTGAAAGCTGAGAGGCTGTTAATATTCTGTCTAGAATGCGGTGAGATGTGCTCTTTTTTTGAGCACCTGCCCCTTTAGTGGTCCCTGCACGGCCCTGGATGGCATAATTGTTTGACAATTCTGCTGAAGCTATTTACTGATCTGTCAAAACATTTATACGGGAGAGGAACAGTTACTAAGATGATAGTCATACAGAAAGATGCATATATTAACCTTCATCCAAACGCCGGTGTTTCTTACCTATCCGGTGTAAAATAATCCGGGGAGTCCGGGAGAAATCCAGCAGTCTGCGCTGATCATCCATCTCTTCCTCCGACTTGACGATGATTCCTTTAAACTCTGTGAAAGTTTCTTCAGCAGCAGTTAACCGCTCGTTGATAAACTCGTTTAATCTGGACTGAAGACATTTTTAGAGAAACACTCGAACATTCAACGCAACAGACCGCGTGTAGTCCTCTTCCTCGTCTTCTTCAGGGTTTTATGACTGTCGGTTTTCCTTTTATTGCATTACCGCCACCTTGTGGCTCCTATGATCATCACAACTAAAGAGTTCTCATGCAGTGCCACTTTTCTGTGAAAAACGTAAAATCTTTTCATAAAAATAAAAGAAGCTGCAGTAGAAAAGAGAAAAGTACAACTAAGACAACAGACTAAATTATTGAAGACAATAATAATCAACCATACTTTGTACAAGCAAGATCAATCAATGTATAAAACTTAGTTTAAGAATATTAAAATTTTCTCTACATGTATGCACCTGTGTGCATCATCATGTGCTGAGTTAAATGCTGTTTTTGCCTAAAACTTTTTTCACAGTTCACACATGAAAACGGCTTTTCACCCATATGAGTTCTCATGTGAGCATCAAAAACTGAAAACGCTTTTTACAGGTCACACATGAGAAAGGTTTTCTTTGCTGATTTTGGTTCTCAGCCTCAGCAGCTTCCTGGATGATGACTTTGTTCCTGTTTGGTTCTGATTCAGTGAGAGATGTTTGTTCATAAACAGGAATCACCATGCAGGTATCAGTCTCCTGTTTTAACTTGACGACTTGGCGATAATTTCTTTAAACTCATTGAATGTTTCTTCAGCAGCAGTTAACCGCTCTTTGATAAACTCGTTTATATATATATATATATATATATATATATATATATATATATATATATATATATACACTCAAACATTTCACAAAACAGACCACGTGCTTTGTTCTTCCTCTTTTTCATCTTGTTCATCTTGGGGGTTTCATGACTGTCGACTTTTATGTTTTTACATTACCGCCACTTTGTGGATCATACGATCATCACAACTAAAGAGTTCTCATGCAGTGCCAGTTCTCTTTGAAAAACGTAAAATCTTTTCATTATAATAGAGGAAGCTGCAGCAGAAAAGAGAAAAATACAACTAAGACAACAGATTCAAATATTGAAGACAATAATAATCAACCATACTTTGTACAAACTATATAAATTAATGTATAAAAATAAGTTTATTAATATTAAAAGTATTTTTTTAAATATGTATTAAACCTTTACACAGGCAGAGTTAAATTGGAAAATATTATTTGAAACAAATGGTATCAGTTACATTGTCATTTTGTTTTAAAGAGAAATTTACCCAAAAAAATGTTGTATATGTGGCAACCTGGGGTGTATTTTCTTATGAAACTCAAATACAGGATGTTAAAGTTTACAATGTAGGAAACCAACAACTCCACCTGGAATAACTCCAGGAAAATGTAATGATAATGAGGACACAGGTAAGTCCTGCTGGAAATTATCAGACGAGATTCAGAAAGTTGTACAAAAGTTTATCAAACTTCAATGTTTTTAAATTAACAATAACTTGAAATTAAATGGTTAAAACAGTGAATGTATGGAAGTAAATATGTGCCATTAGGATTTGAATGGCACATATTTACTTCCATATATACTTATGTAGGCCTGTTTTTTGCATTTTGCACATAGCTTTGTTTGTTGTGCATTTCTGAAGGAACCCCGTAGCGAACAGGGAGTATTTTTATCTTGCAAAATGTTTTGAATTTTGTTGCAATAATGTACTAATCAGTTCCTGCAGCATAATTGAATACTGAATATCTTTCTTAGGGTGGCCATCACACTTTCTCTTGCAGGATTTTTCCATCTATTGTTAACATAATTTGTGAGATATCTGAAGTTTTATGTATTTTTCTTTAGTATAGACCAAGGTGTTTGCTTATTGCAAAGGAAGACACAATAAAAAAAGTCCCATATCTCTTAGGAGACTCCATATTATTAATTAACAAAGTTATCATAAAGTACCAACAAATTATCTTATGGTTTACATCAAACAAGTTTTTATTACTAGAATAAGACTATTTCTTTGTTCAAGGCTCATTCTCTCATTTTATTGTGGTTTTTCCCATCTAGACATTACATGTTCTTTTTTTTTCCTGTCAAACTTCATTAAGAAAAACAAAATGTCACTTGACCCACATCAAGTTGACCAGAAGATGTAAAGGAATACAAAGTTTAATGAACAGAAGACAGCTTGAATATTCCAGGAGTTTCAAATTGTTCACACAACACACCAAATTTAATCTGTATATTAACATATTTAAAATTCAATCCAAAAACAGCATATTGATCACAATCGGGTTTTGAAAAATGCAAGTTCATCATACAAAACATTTAGTATTTTAGAATAACAAAATATTTCTACATCTTCTCAGTCTTATTTTTCACCAATGACCAACCTAATGTTCTGTTTATGCCAAGAATATTTTTATATCTGGGATAGTTTCTACAAGAAGTGCTGCCTCATTTTGGACTAATTGTAGTTTGTTTAGATGTTTCTCTGGACCAAATGTCATTACTGCAAGTGAGATAAGACAGTTCTAGTGATGAGATAAAAGGCAAGTCACTGGTGAAAATGGAAAACAATAAAGGTCCTAAGCAACAGCCCTGTGGAATTGCACACAATTCTTTTAGAAATGAACTGCTATTTTAAAGTTGAGATGCATAACTAGCAAGAAGTAATTAAATGTACAAGTATACAAATAAACACTTTTAGTCATTAGTTTTATCTAACAGAAAATCACAATCAATCAGGTCAAAAGCAGAACTAAGATCTAACAGAACAGCTCCATCTACGTTAATAATCTTCATTAACCACGGTACTCAAGAACTTCTAACAACGTCCTTTATTGGGACACATTTACTATTGGAAATTGATTTTCAAAAACTCTCAATACTGTCTTGTTTGCCTAACCTTTTCAACATTAAAAGTGAACTTTTAAGCTGTTGCAGAATGGTTCTCCAAAAAAATCCTACACCAAAAGGACTTCTTCCCTGTGTGAACTCTCATGTTTATTCAATGAACGTTTTGATCTAAAGGATTTTCCGCAGGTGTTGCAGGAAAAGGGCATTTCACCTGTGTGGAGCAACATGTGATGAGACAAAGAAGCTTTTTGATTAAAACTTTTGCCACAAATCGTACAAGAGAAAGGCTTCTCGCCTGTGTGAATTCTCTCATGCTGATCAAGAATAACTTTACGGGTAAAGCTCTTTCCACAGGACTGACATACAAAAGGTCTCTCACCTGTGTGATTTCTCATGTGACGTGCTAAACTATTTTTGTCCATGTAATATTTTCCACATGTTGTACACTGGACACGTGTCTCACCTGTGTGAGAGTTTATGTGAACTCTTAAATCGTTTTTTCTCATAAAACTTTTTCCACAAGTCTGACATGGATAATGTCTCTCACGTGTGTGAACTATTAAGTGAGTTTTTAAGCAACAACTGTAGCTGAATGCTTTTCCACAGGTCACACACAAAAAGGGCTTCTCACCTGTGTGACTTCTTATGTGACTCAATAACTGATGTTTGTGACTACATTTTTTGCCACAGGTCACGCACGAAAGGGATTTCACATGTGTGTGGACTCTCGTGTGTTTAGTTAATAATTTTTTGCTTTTAAAAGTTTTCTCACAAGTGTTACAGGGAAAAGACCTTTCATCTGTGTGAAGCTTCATGTGAGTGGTCAAATGCATTGTTTGAGTAAAACCTTTGCCACAAGAGTGAACTCTGGTGTGTTTAGCCAAATGCTCTTTTCTAGGGAAGCTTTTTCCACAGGGCTGACATTTGAAAGGTTTTTCACCTGTGTGGGTTCTCATGTGAACCTGCAATAAGATTTTCTGATTATGACTTTTTCCACAGGTCACACATATAAAACACTTCTCAGCTGTGTGATTTCTGACATGCTTATTAATATTAGAGTTTGTAGTGAAGCTTTCATCACAAGTGAGACATTCGAAAGGCCTCTCATCTGTGCGGCTTCTCCTGTGTTGAGCTGAGTTTTCTGCTTGACTTTTCTTGTCCCTTCTGGGTTCTGAATGATCAACACAGTTTTTACACTTTATGGTTTCCTGACATTTCTCATTTTGCTCTGGCCCATTGTCTTCCTTTGATCCTGAGTCTTTATGGTGGCTTCCTTCTTGGTCCTGATTCTCAGTTTCATTACAGTCCTGAGAGATGATTTGATCTTTCATTAGTTCTGGTTCAACGAGGTTAATGTCTTCATGAGTCGGAGTCACCACATATGTATCTTCATTCTCCTGCTTCAGTTCAAGCTGATCTTCATGCTCACCTATGCAGATCTCCAATACCTCCTCTTTAATAAAGGGATGCTCTGGCTCCTCCTCTTTCATCTGCAGAGGTTCTGGTTCCTCCTGGTCCAAACTGGGATCCGTCTCTTGTTTACAGAGGTGCTGGTCAGAGGAATCTTCCTCTTTCCAAGCATAACCCAGTTGGTGGTCTGGAAAGGCAAACATACACAGGAGAAAGTCTTTCTATTGTATGCAAAACAACAAACAGTTCACTTTAAGCATTCCCTGAACATAAAGATGCTTAAAAAAGTATCCAGTAAAACTGAATTTAAACATTTCTTTCATCAAAAACACATTTCAGTCCAATAGACTTTGAAGGAAAATCCTGTCATCAAATGTAGTTTTTAATTTCAACATACAAAATCAAATCACTACAAAAATATTTTTCATTAACCATTTGAAATTTAAATTAATTACAATAGCTTGGAAAAGTTTGGAGTTTCTATAGCAGCCTGGAGCAGAAGTTGGGAGTCATGCACATTTTTAAAAATAACACAATCTGGTTAAGAAAGTACTGACATAACACAATTATGATTTATGTACAGAATTTAAAAAGTTAACCTGCTTTATTTTAAAAAGATCAGTTTGTTATTTTTGACTTGTTCATTAAGAATTTATAAATATAAAGTCATATTCAATGAATTACATTACGGGTTCTGATGTTTGACAGATTAATAGCATAACCTGAGTAGGTATTAGACAAACTTTTCATTAAACCCGTACTGCTGCATTAAAAAGTCTTTCCTGGCCCGATGTAATATTCTAATTCTAAATGTCATGTTTTAATTAAGCGTAAGCAAGAGATCATCATCATTAACAGAAATAAACAATTTAAAACATCAGTCTGTGTGTAACTAATCCATATGTGAGGAGAGAGCTCCCTGTATTCTTGGTGTGCCGCAGTTTTGCTTTTGCACAAAATACTTGGGGTCTGAATCCAGTTCGCTGAAGTAGAGGCAAACCTAAAAGTTAAGACACCAAACCCGGATGACTTGATTTGAATACCCTTGTTGTAGAACCGTCTAGTCCAGGTTTCAAGAGTCTAAGGTGGATTTATTCGCCCGTTAGACGTTTCTCCAAAAATAAACCACCGGAAGTGACTTAGCTTCATTGCCTAGTTTCCGTTAAAAAAAGAAAATCTTCTTAAAACGAATGCTTTAAAACCGTAATATGCTTCCTGAATCATCATTAGAGGTGTTTCATACCCGTTCTGTGTAAGATTATCTGAGGTGTCGAGGTGAAATCCGGGGAAAGTTTGCGCTGATCATCCATCTCTTCCTCCTTCACGATGATTTCATTAAACTCTGTGAATGTTTCCTCAGCAGGAGGTACCTGCTCGTTGATCGACTCTCCTTGAAGCTGGACTGAAGACATTTTTACAGCAAACATCGACATATTCAGCCCACAGAGGACCAGCCTACTAGCAGAAGGAAAGCTAGCGCTGCTAGCATCACAGTTATTTTCTTCTGTTTGTCTGTTGGCGGTTGAGAAACAACATTGCAGGTCACTACCGCCACCAACCGGTCTGAAAGGTGGACTGCAGCGTCATGATATCATGGTCATGTTGCCTGATAAATAATTATCAGGCAACAAATAATGTTGCCTGATAATTATTTTATCAGGTATAGTTAAGTTAATCAATCAAATCTAGTTCTTTTTTTTACTCTGTTTAGGATTCCAACCACTTGTCTGGTTACTTCCTCACAAAAAACTGAAGTCTAAAACAACAACTCCAATTATTTTTATCAATAAAATTTAAAAGGTCTTCAGTCTTCTGAGTTAGCACAGATGTGGTTGAATGACCTTCACAATAAGCAAGTTAATCTAATTTTTTATATTTCTTCATTATAGCTTCTAAACTACTTTCAATCATTAAGAAAATATAGGGTAAAATAAAACATGACATGTTAGTGAGCAGGAAATTCCTAGAGACAAGTGATAAATTGCTAAATCGTATTTCTTTCATGGTCGATAAATACAGCATTTTAATAACAACAGAAAGTACCATTTAGTTACTTGACTGTGCTATAAAATGGCTTTATCCATTATCTGTCTGGAAAACACACAGTAGTAGCTTGTTAAATAATTTTCTATTCAGAAATCAAAAGGCTTTTTATCCAAGAATGTTCAAACTAATCAAAAATTTAAACTTTATTGACAGCAAGAGCATTTTTCAGTGATTTCAAGATTAATTTTGATAGCAAACTACAGACTCCTGCCTTTAAAATCAGTTTGTTGACGTCCTAATATTTAACATTACATAATGTTTATGATAGATTTGTAAGACACGTTTACAGAAAGTGTATGGTGGATGATTTGTTTCAGGTAAAAATGACATTAGTAAACATTGAAAATCTCACACATTTGCACTAATTGGCAGTGAGACTGGTGTGAGTGCATACATGTTTGGTAAAAGAACAATGTGTGCTCTGTGCATTTTACACACACTCGCTCAATATGAGTTCTTGACTCTTTGCGCTTGGAACTGGACAAAGTGTTCGTCAAATGACTAAAAATATAGTTTGAACCTCTAGAAGAGTACAATTTATTTAAATACACTGGCCTTTCTTATGCTTCTTAACACAGAAGGGTTTTTAAATCAAGTAAAATGAAGATAAAACTAAAATAATTTCCCATTTAAATCAAATGAAAACGCTTTAATCTCATTAAACTCTCAGACAAAACATGTTTCCGTGATTTTAGGACTTTCAGCTCAGTAGTGAACTACAGACATCTGATCTCTTTGGCATCCTGATGTTTACAAGGTTTACAACTTTTTTGTAAAATAAAATAAAAACTGTTGGATTACCACTTAATAAAACAGTCAGTAGACATTTTTTCACATTTCCTCATCAGGTTGGGATTATGCACTTCGCGAAGGGCAACAGACGGCCGGGTATAAAAATCCACCAAAAAACAATCTGATTCCAACAAACCATCATCATTAGAGTCATCATAGTACCATATAAATAAACATGTTTAGAGTTTAATATATATATATAAGCAATACAGTAATATGTTTGCTGGAGAAAAAGATTAGTTTTCTGTTCGATTTGGCTTCAAGTTTATCAGACAAAAGGTCTCGCCAGTCAAATCTTGGTGATAGTGCCTGAAAATACTCAAGACAGCACTATAGAAATACTTGCAAAGCCGTTTTAAATCTACAGTATGTTAGGTAAATGGCCACCAGGCACTGAATACATTTGACATTTTTACCGCAAATGCTCTTTGCAGTTCTAATTTATTCATAGCAACATGAAAAGGCAAAGTACTGAGGTTCACCTGACAGAAAATGTTTGATTTGGAAGACAATTTCAGGAATAACTGAAGAAAAATATTGGCTTGACAGTTCAACAACGACAATTCAGCATTAATACCGACAGCACAATTTGACATGGCATAAGCAGATTATGTAAAATAAAAAAGCAGAGGATGGTATGGCAGCAAACGGGTTTGCAATCTGTAGGAAGGAATAAGAAACAACTGGCATGATGAGCAGAAAGGACCAAATCCTGTGAAACAAACAGTTATGAGAACTTTACTTCTGATCAGAGAAATGCACAAAAACAATTGAAGACAATTGAAAAGAATTGTAGTAAGCCATTACTCAATAAATCCATATTTGTTTATAACTATATGGGTCAATTAGGAAACACAAATGGCTGCTGTGGCTTCTACTTGTCACCAATGTGAGTGTTTTTGTTTTAATATTGTTTTTTATTTTAACAGGGGGTATGAGAATATTATGTTATAAATGTTATTCCCTCATCAAAAACATACTTGGTGGTGTTTGTTTTGATTCTTTCATGCATGTTTGAGAAATCATTTAATCTTCAGGGGTACCTAAACACTTGCTATCATAAAGTGCCACCTACTTCCATAAAGTCTACTTTCTCGATATGTGCTTCTGCTCCTGTAGACTAGTGGCAGCAGCAATTAGCAAACACCTGGTGGAACTGCTTGTAGGCTGAGCTTATATGAACTTCTTTAGTCCAACACTCCTAAGATGGTTTGTAAACAGCATAAAGTTAATATTTTCTACTGGAAGGCGTAGGAGCTTCTTAAAGAGACAGATGTCATTTTCAAGACATCACATTGTAAAGTCAAATTTCTTTAAAGCTATGTTTGATATTTACATAATGACAGGTCCTGCACAAAAGGGGCTTATCACCTGTGTAAACGCTCATGTTTATTCAGTGAATCTTTTCTTTTGAAAGTTTTTTCACAGGTATTACAGCGAAAAGGCCTTTCATTTGTGTGAATCATCATGTGTTGAGGCAAATAAGCTTTTAGAGTAAAACGCTTACCACAAACGGTACAAGAGTAAGGCTTCTCACCTGTGTGAATTCTAATATGCTTGTTGCAATCAGAGCTTGCGGCAAAGCTTTTTCCACAAGTGTTGCACACAAAAGGCTTCTCCCCAGTGTGAATTTTCATGTGTTTATTACATTCGGACTTTGTAACAAAGCTTTTTCCACAGGTGTGGCACAAAAAAGGCTTCTCACCTGTGTGAATTTTCATGTGTTTGTTCAATGATGGTTTGGATCTGTAGCTTTTTTCACAAGCATGACAGGAAAACACCTTTTCATCTGTGTGACTTCTCATGTGATCAGTCAAATTAACTTTTCGAGCAAAACTTTTGAGACAAATCACACACGTGAAAGGCTTCTCACCTGTGTGAATTCTGACGTGGTCATCCAGAAAAGATTTCTGAGTGAAGCCTTTTCCACAGAACTGACATTTGAAAAGGTTCTCACCTGTGTGAATTCTCATGTGACGTGTTAAACCTGTTTTGCTTATGAAACGTTTTCCACATGTCACACAGTGCGACTCCTCATTTGTGTGCGTTACAAAGTGAGTTTTTAAACTACCGCTGTGGCTGAACGCTTTACCACAGATGACACACAAATACGGGTTCACACCTGTGTGACGTCCCATGTGAACTATTAACTGACGTTTTTTAATAAATCCTTGTCCACAAGTCTCACACGAAAAGGGTTTCACACCTGTGTGAACTGTCATGTGTTCAATTAATGAATATTTAGATCTGAAAGTTTTTTCACAGGAGTTACAGGGGAAAGGTTTTTCATCTGTGTGAGTCCTCAAGTGATTAGTCAAGTGACCTTTGTCAATAAAACTCTTGCCACAAATGGTGCAAGAGAAAGGCTTCTCACCTGTGTGAATTCTGACATGTTTAACATAAGCAGGTTTTGTGATGAAGCTTTTTCCACAGGACAGACATTTAAACGGCCTCACACCCGAGTGAATCCTCATGTGTTTATTTAATGAATGTTTCAATCTGAACGTTTTTTCACAGGTGTTACAGGAAAAGGGCTTCTCACCTGTGTGAATTCTCATGTGCGCTGTTAAATTTCCTTGTTTTGTAAAACTCTTTCCACACGTACACTGAAAACGCTTCTCACCTTTGTGACTTTTCAAGTGCTGAGTCAAGTTACTACTTTCACTAAAAGCCTCACCACATATTTTACAAGAATACACAGCGGCTCCTGTGCGTGCTTTCTTGTCCGTTTTGCATTTTGAATTGTTGACACAGTTGTTGCCCTTCATGGTTTTCTGATGACTCTTGTTTTGTTTCCGCCCTTCATCTTGCTGTGATCCTGAGATTTTATTAGGATTTCCTTCGCAATCCTGGAGCTCAGTTTGATTATAAACCTGAGAGACAACTTGGTCCACAAGTGGTTCTGGTTTAATGTGGTACTTGTCTTCATGAGCTGGACTCACTATTGATGTATCTTCATTCTCCTGCTTCAGTTCAAGTTGCTCTTCCTGCTTACTTATGCAGAGCTCTAAAGGTTCCTCTTTAGTCCAGGGATGTTCTGGTTCTTGATGCTCTTCTTTTATCTGCAGAGGTTCTAAATCCTTCTGGTCCAAACTGGAATCCGTCTCCTTTTTGCAGAGCTGCTGGTCAGAGGGATCCTCCTCTTCTTTCCAAATGTAATTCTGCAAATCATCTAGAAAGGCAAACAAACACAAGAGAAAGGCTTTTTGTAGGTTATCTGCCAGTGCAATTAGTCCCAATTTGAATTTGGTGCCCGCCATTATTCCTAGGCTACACTATGAATGCAACATGCCTCCTAGAGTTAGTGTCAATTGTGATTAGATTATATCATGCTACTTATTATAGGTAATGATTTTAACCTTGCAGGCGTAGCATAAAGCAAAGATGCTCTAATTAATTTGCATTCTGAAAGAGCGGTTCACCATTATTTTCATGATTTGGAAGCATCTGCAGACAAATGCTGAATTTAGAGTAAACAAGTTAGCAAGTTTAGCATCTTTTGTTTTTCAAATTTGGAACAGATGTGTAAAATATACAAAAACATTAAATCCGTCACTACTAAATATAATCAAGTGATGCTGTTTTTCTTATCACTGGCTTGAAAACTATAAGATTTTTTATTATTATTTGTTTTTTATAAATAACATCTGAAGGGGGAAAATGTATGCACTCTTTTTGTACATTCTATGCTATTTTTTGTTTTTATTTTAATTTAAATACCAAAATATAAATAAAACTGTGATTCTTTAAAATGACAACGGATTAATAGATTAAAATTACAAGTCAGGCAACATTTAAGGCTATAAAAAATGTTTGTTTAGCTGGACTGAGGACAAAAATGGCTCTTTGTACTGAATTATAACTATTATTAAAATATAGATTGTCATAGGATATAAAACCAAACTGTCTCTGGTGACTGTTTCCTCTAATACACGTGTCAAACTCAAGGCCCGGGGGCCAAATCTAGCCCACAATATCTTAATTTGGCCAAATACACCAGAGGAAAGCGTAAACAGAACCTTCAAGATAAAAAGTGTGTGATTAAATATTTTAACTGTTTGCTGCCAAATTAAAACCAGTCACTCCACTTTTCACCAATTACACAATCAAGGAAACTCATACAAAATCAACAGATCGCTGCACTATTTTAGCTCTAATGTATAATTGAGAGTTTATCGCACATTTTCTGCAAAAATGTTCAAAAACATTGATTATAAAATTATAGTCTGATCAAGATGGAAAACAACAAAAATCTAAATTATAGAGCAAATATTGCTAAATGTCTTGCAAATATTTCTGAATTAGAAGTTATTTGGATTGCAAAAACAATCACAAAGTCCTAGATGGATTGATCAATGTGAAAAACTTTCAATATTAATTAATTTTAAGAAATATTTATCACAGCTACTTACTAGTATTTTAACAGTATGATCATGGGTTTTATTCTGGCACAACAACCGTCCAGTTGGGAACATTCATAGCCCAAAATCAAAATCAGTTAGACTCTAATATAAACGCTGGTCACATAATACAGTGTAACATTGTTTCATACCAGTTCGGTGTAATGCGGTCCGGGGCGTTTGGCTGTCCCAACCATTTACCTCTTCCTCCTTCTTCACGGTTCCATTAAACTCTGTCAATGTTTCGTCAGCAGAAGTTTCCTGCTCGTTGCTCAACTCTCGTTGAAGATTGATCGAAGACATTCTGACTGCAAACAGATATTCAGCCCATAAATGGATCAAAATCCGCAGAATGACTGCAAGCAGAAGGAAAGCTAACGTTGCTAGGATCACGTCTTAGCTACTTCTTCTTCTTCTTTACACATTGAATCAGGTCTTTACCGCCACCAGCTGGTCTGGAGGGATAACAGCAAGATACGGTTTTGATTTTCTTTTCTTTTTTTTAATCGTTATTAACTGCATGTACAACAAATACGGCATCAATAACAAATGTATTCAAAGCTGAAATAGCTAGCACGGTCTGCTTCCAAACACAAACAAGTGAGAAAAAACCAAAACACAAACCGACAATGAAAAGTAATCTATAAACCAAAATAGATAAATAAATGAGAAAAAAATATTTTAAAAAATTATTTAAAAAATATTTAAAAAAATGACTAGATAGTTTATTATATGATTCATTTGTTCATTAATTTTAATAGATAACAAAAGGTGGCAGAGTTGTTTGTGTAAAGTGGGGATTTTTTTATTTATTTCTTTTCAAATGACAATTGTGAATGAAGTATTTGCCCTTTTGAGTTTCTTTTCTTTTCTCAGGGTTTCAAAAATAATGTAATTTTTAGAAAATTCACATAAGTTTGGAATTTCAGGGAAATGCTGGCTAGTGCACAAGATAATTTATGGAAATGCATCGGGTTATGGTAGTTAAAAATTACCTGAATTAATGAGCTACTTCTACTTAAATGAGGGTGATCTAGTTTGGTTTTAATTCAGAATATGAATCGGTTTTCTGCTTTATCATATTTCTGAAACAGTAATATTGACTCCAACTCTACAGCAATCACATTTTCCATTGCCGTGTTTACCGAAAATGAAAAAAAATATATTTTTAGCTCGTCCTTCTTTTGCTTTTGTCACCTCATTTTCTATTTTAATAAATTTTTAATCTCTATTTTGCTGAAGCTGATTCACAGCTTATTTGTTGCCATAATATGTATGAATTATATGCAATAGCATGACTAATAAATAGTTGATCATTAGGCTCATCATGTATACGGAGCATGCTCAATTTATATTAAAATCTCTGATCTGCTACCAAATAATTACCTTGTTCTACTGTGAACTGGAATCCAAACAAATAATTTATCTTTATGGTTCTGAGTCTAATATTGCAATAACATCTCCTGTGTATGCTGAAATACCGTTATTTATGCCTTTCCCTGCTTTGAGTTAAAACTCTGGTATAATGATGTGAAACTGTCTGGAAGAATATTTACACCACCTACTGCTGCCATCTTCTGGATTAAGTAGGTATTTCATTTTTTCCTTCTGCTAGAGGTGACCACATCACCCACGCAACAAAAACTCCTGGACAATTTACTTAAATTTACTCCCACATCAACACTTTAATATACACAATGTGAAAATGAAAATATTATCTTCTTAACTCACTTATTGGTGTCTTTTTTAAAATAAGGGTGGTGCTGTTTCTTTGTGGGATATGAGTGAATAAATGTTTAGCTCCAAACTGGAGAGTTTCAGTCTCATGCCATAGCATCAACACAGATCCAGCTGCGCTGATTTATTTTCAAAGCATAAAACTCCACCTTCACAATTGTAGGTGAACAGAAATGTGATCGATGACTCTCAGGTTGAATGTGGAGCCAAAAGTTTCCCTGAAAGTTCTCTTCTGTGTCTCATGCGGTGCATTGTCCAAAGGCTGTCCTCCTGTCTCAGTGAAAACTGAGAACCAGGCAGTTCGCACAGTGTGTTTTTTTTTAACTGAATCATTTACTTTTGTAAAATGATTCAGTATATTTTGGCCTTCCTGTATTACTTTAATCAACCTTTTCTGTTCCGCATCAATTCAACAATTAAGGATGACTTTTTTCACCTTTTCTCCAACCAAACCACATATTTTACACACAAAATATAATTTTGTGACTGATCATCCAAATAGAAAAAGGAGCATACCGCACCCAGACACTCAAACATGTTTTTTCTTTCCGTTCCACACTGTGTTCACATTTCTTTCCACATTTCTTTCTGATAGCCAACCAACATGTTCAAACTCACTTTGTCTTGAGTAATCAACTAAATTTACCAAACATTGACCACAAAAATAATGAATGCAATCACATTCCGTAAACATAATCTGACCACTTTAATACCATTACAAAATATAGATAACTTTTTTTAGATTGTCTGAAAATGTGACAAAACACCAAATATCTTTTGTCATTCATAGGAAACCATATTAAAAATTAAGGTTTTTTTTATTGTTTGATCAACTTAAGGAGTAACAGCCACAGCAGAAAACAAAAATATGAGGAAAACAAATTTATATTTTAGAGGTACAGAGCACATCCAAAGAATCAAAAGCAGCAGCACTGAAATTAGTTGCTAAATTTGCACTTTAAAGAAATTAAAAAGTAGAAAGTTCAAACTTCTAGAGGAGTTTAGCATCTCTAAAATTTTTATTGTTAATTCAAATGACTTTTTGCCAAGTCAAATGATGAAACTCAAGAATTTAAATGTTAAATCAAATGTGAGAAACAGATTTAAACATTTTTCTAATTCCGATGCTGGACATTTTTACAAGGCTTATAATATAAAATTTTTTCTGTTGCACGTTTTCAGATTAATTGTTGGATTACCAGTTAAAATGACACACGGACATTTTCACACAGGTCACAGTAGCAAAAAGGCCTCTTACGTGCATTCTTGTGGCTTCTCATCTGTGTGAACTCTCATGTGTTTATTTAACGAATCTTTTCTTTTGAAAGTCTTCTCACACGAATTACAGGAAAAGGGCCTTTCATCAGTGTGATGTGCCATGTGAGAAGTCAAATTACCTTTTTGAGTAAAACCCTTGCCACAAATCATGCAAGTGAAAGGCTTCTCACCCGTGTGAATTCTGACATGCTCATCGAAAACAGATTTTCTTGTGAAGTTCTTTCCACAGAACAGACATTTGAAAAGCCTCCCCTCCTTGCCAGTTCTCATGTTAACCGTTAACTGACTTTTGTTAATCAAACTTTTTCCACACGTCATAAATTGCAAAGGTTTCTCATTTGTGTGCGTCATGAAGTGAGCTTTTAAGCTACTGCCGTCGCTGAATGCGTTCCCACAGATCACACACAAAAAGGGCTTCTCACCTGTATGGCTTCTTGTGTGAACAACTAACTGGTGCTTTTGATTGAATCCCTTTCCACAGGTCACACACAGAAACGGCTTCTCGCCCGTATGACTTCTTATGTGAACCTTTAACTGATTTTTTTGATTAAACCTTTTTCCACAGGTCACACACAGAAAGGGCTTCTCACCGGTATGAATTCTTACATGTTCTTTCAGTGAATGTTTTGATCTGAAGGTTTTTAAGCAAGTATTACAAGGAAAAGGCCTTTCATCTGTGTGACACTTTATGTGATTGGTCAGATGCCCTTTGTCAGTAAAATTTTTGTCACAAATCATACAGGAGAAAGGCTTCTCACCTGTGTGAATTCTGCCATGTGCATCAAGAACAGGTTTTGTGGTGAAGCGTTTTCCACAGGACAGACATTTGAAGGGCTTATCACCAGTGTGAATTCTTGTGTGAACCATCAACAGGTATTGTCGATTAAAGTGTTTTCCACAGGTCTTGCACACAAATGGCTTCTTACCCGTGTGAACCCTCATGTGTTCATTCAGTGAATCTTTTCTTTTGAAAGTTTTTTCACAGGTATCACAGGAAAAGGGCCTCTCGTCTGTATGGAGCCTCATATGAGTAGTCAAATTACCTTTTTGAGTAAAACTTTTGCCACAAATGGTGCAAGAGAAAGGCTTCTCACCTGTGTGGACTCTGACATGCGCCTCAAGAAAAGGTTTGGTAGTGAAGGTTTTTTCACAAGAAAGACATTTGAAAGGTCTCTCACCTGTGTGAATTCTCATGTGAACAGTTAAATGTCCTTTGTTTATATAACTTTTTCCACATGTTGCACATGGAAAACGCTTCTCACTTGTGTGATAATTCAAGTGCTGAGCCAAGTTAGTATTTTGAGGTAAGAAATCACCACATCTCTTACAAGAACACAAATTGCCATGTCTTTTTGGTTTTGAATTTGGACACTTTTTACGCTTTATGGTTTTCTGACATCTCTCATTTGGTTTCGGTGCTTTATCTTGCTTTGATCCTGAGTCTTTCTGATGGTTTCCTTCTTGATCCTGGTTCTCAGTTTCATTAAAGTCCTCAGATATTATCTGGCCTCTCATTGGTTCCGGTTCAATGTGGTCATTTTCTTTGTGTGAAGGAGTCAACAAAAAGGTATCTTCAGTCTCCTGCTTCAGTTCAAGCTGCTCTCCATGCTCACCTATGCAGATCTCCAACACTTCCTCTTTAATCCATGAATGTACTGGTTCCTGCTGCTCTTCTTTCATCTGCAGAGGTTCTGGTTCCTCCTGGTCCAAACTGGAATCACTCTCCTGCTTGCAGAGCTGCTGCTTCTCTTTCCAAACATAATCCTGTAGATCATCTGGAAATCAAACAAAACACAGGAGAGAGGGTTTCTATTCACTTTAATCTATGCATACAAACATGCTTTGAGAAGTATTTAGTCCTAAAATTAGCTGAATCTCAGAAGATTTTAGTCTCAATGCATTTCAGTTCAACAAACCATTAGTACGAGGCAATTTTATATCTGTACAAAGAGAATGACAATTCTACAATTTCCATGAATAAAAATGTTATAAATTTTTAGTTTGAGCTCTTGAAGCAGTATGGGCTTCCTTAAAACCTCACATTTTAACGCTGCTCAACCATATGGCATGTTACAATGGTGCTGTAAGTCAAGCGTCTCTACCAATTAATATACTTTATTGAACTGCCACGAATCACAAAACTATGTCTGAAAGATTCTGTCAATCATATGAAACAATCCTGTTTAGGTTTAAAGGGTTTTATAGCTTTCGAATAGGAACAGATTAAAAATATTCAGGACATTGAGAAATTAGGTGAATTCACCGTTAGCCGTTTCTTAGAGCTGAAGCTACAACCGGAAGGCAACTTTATCTTCGTTCACCGCTAATAAAGCAATTAAAAAATGACATTAAAATCGCAGTCGGCATTAAAACGTTAGCATCGCCTGTATCTAATACCTTTTCCGTGTAAAATAGTCTGGGATGTCCGGGAGAAA